TAATGGGTAGCAGGTTTAAAACTAATAAAAGAAAGTTCTTCTTCACACAGCGTGTAGTCAACCTGTGGAACTCTTTGCCAGAGGAGGCTGTGAAGGCTAGGACTATAATCGAGTTTAAAAAGAAGCCAGATAATTTCATGGAGGTTAGGTCCATAAAAGGCTATTAGCCAGGGGATAAAATGATGTTCTTGGCCTCTGTTTGTCAGAGGCTGGAGAGGGATGGCAGGAGACAAATTGCTTGATCATTGTCTTTGGTCCACCCTCTCTGGGGCACCTGGTGCTGGCCACTGTCGGTAGACAGGATACTGGGCTAGATGGACCTTTGGTCTGACCCAGTACGGCCATTCTTATGTTTTTATGAGAATACCAAATATTTTGGACTTGAGTTAACATTTTCAAAAGAGCCTAAGCAGATCTACACTACACCTGGGAGGTGAGATTTCAAGCACAGACACACTAACATGCTTGCATTAGCATGCTAGAAATAGCATGTATCTATGTTGCAGCACAGCTCATGCTAGGTGATCAAGTTTGGACTCAGGAGGTTGGATGGCTTGTACTTGGGTGCCTGGCTGTGCTGCTGTTAGTGCTACCACATCCACATTACTATTTTAACATACTAGCTTGAGCTAAACTAGCATGAGTCTCTCTATCCGGCCCGAGAATCACACCTTCCAGCTGCAGTTTATACCCACTCAAAGTAATTTATGGCCCTACATTTGGTCAAATATCATTGAAATTAGGAAAATGTCTGATTTCCACACGTTTGTGCCACAAATTCCTATTCAAACAGGTAAGTTGTGTCACCATTCCAAGGAAGCCTGAATTACTAACTTGGAGAACTAAGAGGAGGGATGGGAATTGAGATTTAAAATTAAAAAGTGTAATATTCTGTACACTGTTTTAAAATTACACACTCACTTTTTTAATTAAAAGGGGTAACCCTTCATTAGTATATATTGCAGGAAATAATGATTCATCAACATGAGCACCAGCTTCTCTGCATCTGTACAATAAAAATAAAATACATTAATTTTGTTTAGAATTAGAATATAATTTAAAAATAGTAAAAAGGCCATTCCCATTAGCCACAACAAATATCTAAATTAACAGAGAATGGACTGAGGAATTATAACTGAAGAGAAAAGGAAAGCCTGAAAACCATAGCACCTACTCCTTAGTTTGTCCAATGAGCAAAGAACTCCTTACAACGTCCATCTTGCATTATTTAGCTTTCCATCATGCCAGTGGCCTTGACCGGTGTCTGAGAACTAAAGGTCTCCTCTGAACTGGAAGTAAACCTTTTGGAAGTCCCTATAAATTAAAGACTTAAACTGTTCCCTTGCTGGGAGTCTATTTTCTCAAGCTAGGGTCACAAAGTGTTGTGGGTAAGCAATAGTTTCAAAAGCAAGAAGAGATATTTGCAGACAGGCAGGTGAAGAGAAAGAGGTTCTCTCTGATCTTTATTTTCACTTTTAATAATTCCTCACCCAGTCTTGTCCTGGTTTACTCACTCCACACAAAGATTCTGCGAAGGAAATAGTCTTTGAAAAGGTCCATTCGTCACTCATCCAGCTGACTTTGGCAAACATGCTGCCTCACCTTAGTCAGCTATGTTTCTTCTATTTTTATTGTTGAGAGCCAAAAAACGATTTTGACCAGAAACAGCAAAAGAGTTTAATTACTCTACAGTTTTTCAATATATAGGAGGATTGACTAAGGAAAAAATTATGAATCATTTACACTGCACTAAGAATTTCGGAAGTAACTCAAATATGTGAATCTAGTGACACCTAGTGATCTTAAATTTGTAGAGTATATAACTAGTTAACTACAGTGTAGCATGAATAATTCTAAGTTTTGGAGTAGAAAGTATATGAACAAATTGCTTCATGGCCACAGATCCGTTTTATTCATAATGTGCAGTTTCAAATACTTATACGTTAGTATATTAATCTGAATTTACTGGAGTTTCTGAAAATGAAGCAAGGATAATTTCAAAGAACATGATAGTCTAGTTGCGTTCCATTGGTGGTAGTAGCCAGGATTTAATAAAAGCCAGTTTTTTAAAGCTAATTGACTATCTTAAATGTGAAAAAGTTAACATTTGTCAAATTTGCATATGATCAGTTATTGTTAATAAAAGCATCCTTTACTATTTAGCATATGCAATGTCAATGAGTTATACATTTCTCAGGCTATGTCTAGACTGTGTGGAAGATTCAAAAAGATATGCAAATTCCGCAGAGCTTTCAAAAGAGACACCGATAGCAAAGCCGCAGCGGCGGCGGGTTCCCGCGCCTCTGAGGCTTTGCTCTGGCAAAGCCTCAGAAGCGCGGGAACCCGCCCAGTGCCCCTGGTCTGCTGGAGACAGTCTCCAGCAGTGGCTCTGGGAGACAGTCCCCAGCAGACCAGGGGCACTGGGAGCAGCTTTTCTCGCCCCGGAGGTTGAGGTGGCAGATCGCTGCCTGCGAGCTCCGGGGCGAGAAAGCCCCATTCGTAAGTGCAGATCCGACGTAAGTCAGGGACTGCCTGTAAAATGAAATGGTATTTAAACACACAAATACAACTTTCAATAATTTAAGCAGAAATCAGTGCCTATCAGGTTCAACTGCATAGCCATTCTAATGAAATGTTCCATAAAAACCTTGAGATAATGTCAGCAAGGCAGACAAAACCTGTATTTATAAAGCAAAAAAAACCCCAAAAAAACTCCACACCACCCAAAAATACCACTTCTTAACACATGAAACAAAACATGCCTTTCAGACCCTCTACATATTCCACAAATAATCACTTCTGCTACACTGCCTGCCTCCTGCATGCAACAGCTGAAATTTAGAATGCTTACACAGTTACTAAATTGAACACATTTTAACATCCCTAGTGTGAATATTAGAGAACTAGAAGATTTTCCCTGCATTGTCCGAGTCCTTCAGGGCAGGCAGTAAGTGAGGAGGGTATGTGTGTGCAAGAGTTAGGGCAGGGCAGGGCCTTGGGGATGTGCGTGTGGGCGGCCAGGAAGCTGGGGGAATGGAGGGATGCGAGAGAGGGGGTTGGGAGGTGAGGCGAGGCAAGGGGTCCCATCTGTGGGATCATCTCTTCCCCTTCACTTCCCTTCTGACCAGTGGCCAGTGGCCTTCTCTCCCCGCCCTCAGCCTCCCTGGCTGCCAAGGGACTTCTGCCCCCACCTCCCCAGCACTGCAGCCAAGGTCTAATGGGGGTGGTAGAAAGGGTTTGGGGCAGGGGTAATGTTCCCTCTAAGATGTGTGGCAGCACAGCCCCACAGCCTCTTAAATGAGCCCCATCCAGCCAAGGGCTCAGGGCGCGCGCGCGCGCGCACACACACACGCACACACACACACACACCCCCCTGTGCAAGTCCTGAGCCCCTGGCTGGGCAGGGCTCATTAAGCAGCTGCGGCACCACTCAGAGAGAACACTGGGCAGGGAGGCTACTTACCTAGTCTGGTGGCAGGCAAGACCCAGCCCTGCTGGCCACTCTCTTGGTGGTATGGCTACCCCTAGAGGTCTCTCTGCAGTATTGCTCTCCCCTATGGGCTTGCTGCCACAATGACCACTCTCCATAGCATGCCACATTTGTAGGTCCTAGCTCCTACAGTTAGGAGTTTTTGAGCAAAAAGACTCAGAGACAGACAGACTTTAAATTTGTGAAGTTTTTAAATATACAAAAAAAATCTCATACTTTTTTGCTGTTAAAAAAAAAAAAAAAAACCTTGGGCCTTTTTAGATTCCTCTTCCCCTTGGACAAAGACACATTAATATACATCAGTACTCACTTTTCCACCCAGAGTACAGAAACTAGTTTTACTCCAGTCTTTTGAGCCTTTCTCCAGGTAGCCAAACGTCCTTCTTTGAAGACTACATGAGTCACTTGTTTGTTAAAAGTTTTTGAAACCTATAAGAATATACAAAGAGAAATATTAGATATTTAAGTTCTCCAAATAGCACACTCATGATCCACAGAACATGTAATCCCGTGGTGTCCAACCAGTTCTGAAGCAGTAGCCACTATAATGACTACTGCTATATTGAACTAGCCACATTATTCTGAAAATGAGTTTTACTCTTCAAGCCAACTAGCCACACACAATCAGCCAAATAGCCACATGCTGAAATTTTCAGCAGTTACAGATTTTCCCATGAAAGGGGGCAAGGAGGTGCTCCTCCACCTGTAGCTCCAGTATGGGGAGGAGGGAGAGTTTGCTTTCTTCACCTCCCTCCCAGTCCCTACATGCCCTCTGAGCTGGAAGCCAGAGCTGGTGCTGCAACCTTGTGACTATGCACCAACCACGAGGCTCAATCGGCAGCTCAGGCGCCCCGCTGCGTGGGGGTGGGGCTGAACTTGAGCCACGGACCACCTCACTTTGAGACCCACTGCCTTAGAGCAGCCGTGGCCAACCTGAGGCTCGCGAGCCACATGCAGCTCTTCCCCCCCACATCCAGCGCGGCTCACAAAGTCTCCCCCCCGTAGCTCAAAAGCCACCCCCACAGCTCCAAAGACAGCCCTCTCCTCCCAGCTCCCTGTGCTGAGCTGGACAGGGGAGCCGTCCGGCACAGCCATGAAAGCTGCAGAAAGAAAGATGGCAGCAGGTGGCAGGAGCCTGCTGTGGCCAAAAAAACCTCAAAACATGTTTAAATGAAGTTTCTTAAAGGGGCCAAGCCTTTTTTAAGAGCTTTTCCCCTCCACCCCCCACTCTTTGCCCCGGCTCTTTGCGCTGGATCCACTGCTATCTAGGCTCTTTTCCAAGAACTGGTTGACCTCTCCTGCCTTAGAGTGTCACAGCTCAACACATCTTGATAAAGGCACAATAGCAAATTAATGTTGTCTCTGAGAAACTACCCGATCTCTTGAACTCCTTTTTGTAGGCAAACTGATACAGAGAAATGTTAGTTAAGGTCCCCTCCGTTTAGGCTCAAGCTGGGATCTTTCCTTCTTGCACATGAACACTTAACAGAGATTTCATAACCCATGCTTTCAGTGACACATGCCAACCCTTAATAGGCATCTAATTATAATTTAGTAATGAATGATGCTGATGCACAAAAAGGATAGTGCTGAGCACCACTATATGTGAAGCCAATGCACCCGGCTTCTGCTGGGCTAACACAAGTCAACAGTAGTTTCCCTCCCTACTCCAGACTTTTCTTCTTTTGTTCAAATGAAAATCTCTACCTGTCCCTCTGACATATCCTCATGGCTATCTATCCTCTGGCTCAACCTCAGCTTGGCTAAAAAATGAGATGGAAACCTGGAGTTAAACATTTTTACAGTTGAGAACCAAGCACATTACCGTATTTTCCAGCGTATAGGGTGACTGGGCGTATAAGACGACCCCCTATCTTTTGAATTAAAAGATAGGGTTTCATCTTATACCCCAGCGCCCCTCCGCCTCCTTTGCTCCCGGTGTCCCTGGTCTGCTGGAGCTGGTCCCCAGCAGACCAGAGGCACCGGGAGCAAAGCCGCCAGGAGCGCCAGGAGCGCCTGGGCTCCCCCCCACCGGAGCCCCTCCGCGGCTTTGAAAGCCTCGGGGGAAGCCGGCGGGGGGGCATCCCAGGCGCGCATGGGCTGCCCGCCCGCCGGAGCCCCTCCGCGGCTTTGAAAGCCTCGGGGGAAGCCGGCGGGGGGGCATCCCAGGCGGGGCATCCCTGTGGGATGGGGAGTAACG